TTCTCTTCGTATCTACTCTCTTGGCGCTGCCGAATGTTTGCTTCTCGAGCTACTGTATCGGGACAATTCTGTGTCAATAATAGAATCGGCTAATGCAGGTTTTTAGGCTTGCTGTCTGGCTTGCCATGGGGCTGAGTTAACTTGTCTGCATGAACTTGTCTTGCTTTATCTACTCTGTACATCGCCTGCCGTTGCCCTTTGGCCTTTGTTTTTCTTCTGTCAAGTGTCCTACAACGAGCTATTTACTAGTGCTTTTACTTGTCGATTCTTTTGGCAATTAGGTGCTCATAGATGAAAGGTCTTTGGTCTCGCTAAAGCTCGAGTTTCATATAGAAAAATGCCTAATTACGAGGCAAAAGACACACTTTCCAGCTTTTCATGAAGATACTTATGCTGATTTTTTATTTTGAGGTGACTTACGGACATCATATTTACTAAAGGGTGGCTTAAGTGTCCAGCACATCCATTCAAGTTACAAGGAGTCATGCATAAAAGGCGCATAAGCCACGATAAAATTATTTCTTATTCTTTGTTTATAAGTAGAATTTAGAAATTATCAGTATAACATAACTAACATATAACATTATTCCTTCACTGGCTAGACAATTATGAAGCATAGTATAGGGGGGAATTAAGTCTCATTAAGAGCTATATTCATTAAGGTGATGAAGGACTGGTAGCTGGAGTTCATTAAATTAATATCACTAGGCCTCATGTTTCCATTGAATTGCACAAAGACCCTTTACCAAGAGTTGTTCTAATCCAGGCAGAAGTTGACTCCAGTTTCAACCTCGCCTTGGTCTCCTCAGCACCATCAGCCGGACTCGAATCCAGGTTGTCTTAGTGTAGTGCATAATCTCGATAGGTGAAACAAACTCACATGATTGTAAGAAACGTCAACTACCAATTCTTTATTGCCTTAAAGAAAATAAGAGGAATTCAGCACTTATTTCAGATATAATACTTATAAAACGAATCATAAGTTCGCTCTGTAAGACGCAGGAACTAGCAGACAGACAGTAAGCCATAGCAGAGACAATAAAAAATGATAGTTTAAGTTTTTAAAAACTTCGTCTACTTAGCTGTCATTTGGGGGTAGCCAATTAGAGTATTTTTCGAAACTAATCATTGAATAATAACTTACTCACCCTAAGATTGTTTGAAACATATTCACACCGAAAGGCCACAACAAGAATGTGAGTTTAGAGAGCCCTGTTCTGTTTTGTGACTAACGGGCATTCATGGCTGTGCTGCCAAGCTAGCATACTGCCATGATGCATATGCTGCGGTTTCGAGTCCCGTTGGTGGGATGATGAGGCGAGGTTGAATCTGCTCTCAAACCCAGATAAGAATAATCCTTTGGATTTCATCGATCCTCTCATAGAATTTTGAGAAATACTCAAGCATCACATCGCTTAGAAATATGAGATGAATTAACACTTAGTCATTTATATGTGCTTAATTGATAATTTATTCAATACCTATCTTACCTGCATTCTCCAAGACCCCTCCACTGTGTCAATGTTGTCAACATGCCTGTGCTCTTGTCTAGTCGTAGCCAGACACTATTGAGTCTCCCTCTCAATCTTCCAAGTTGACATAATGCTTCATCGGCCGCCATTTCAGCTTCCTGATATTGAGGCTCGGTATCGATGACATAGTCATCCGTTTGTTCGTGTTGACCTCGCGTTTGAAGCCAGCCTCGATCGAGATGGTTGGGTCCGCCAAAGTCCTGTGAACGTCTGGATTTCATGGTGCCCAACAAAGCTTTGGATCCTCGGAGCAGATAAATGAGGCTAGAGTTGGCGCCGAGATCATGATCGATGGCGTGAAACCTAGTGATCAGATAGCCGGCAGGCAAACCGGCTAGTTCGGGTCGAGGCGAGAGATGCGGAAGTTCAATCAGAACTCGGCCCCGGGCCTTCAGGATAAATAGCAAGAGTGCAAACAAAAAATGGGGCAGAAATTATGATGTAGAGGAACCAATCAGTGGTACTTCTGCTGGGCAGAATGCCAACTTCAGTTATACCAAATTAAGATAATCATTCTCTTGCTACACAGATGAATTAATTAGCTTAACATGTAGGATACTTGAGGAGGATAGGAGTACCCTCAAGCTTGAATTATTTTTTATGTTGACCAGATAGTAGAGTCAAAGAGCTGTTGTGTTACGACAGGGACTGCAAGATACTGTTTACTTATTAGTGTTACTTTGATAATTTGATATAATTTGAAATATTATCTGATTTTTTGAAAATTTGGATAGTATATACCATAATGTTAAGTATAATATAATATACTAATAAGTTTTTGTGTTTTTTATTCTGTACTAAACCCATAACTTTGAAGGCGGATATATTGTAGAAGTCGAACATCAACTAACTTCTTCAAATGGATATTAGGGTTCGCACGGCTTAACGCCTTTAAAAGGTGCAAAAAAGGGAAATTCTGATGAATTGTGAATAATAAACGAACTGTGATGCACAAGTTTCTAAGTATGTCATGTAGATAATGAAGAAGATCAGCGAATATTGGAAAGGCCGAATGCACTTGCTTATTAGTCGAACAGAAGAACATCTTCCGATGAAGACATATCAGCAAGTACTCAGAGGTTATATAAGGAAATTTTTTATTATAGCCTCTATTTAAACTTTCTTAAAAAGAGATGAGTTTTAATTATTTGCAAGTTGGCATTAAGTCTTATGAACATAAAAAGTAACTTGTAATAGGGTTGTATTAGCTGCCATTTCGAATAATAATGACATGAAACCCAACCTATTAGTAAAATATATGGACAGTTATTTATTTATTTAACAGCATGGTAAGGAAAGTTTAGATAGTTTTTATTTTCATTTAACAAATGTGAACTTGTGAATGTACAATAATATTGAATATCATTGTTATTAGAGAAGGCGCTTATTTGGAGAACTGGCAAACACTAGAATTATCTTTCAAACTATGGCTTAGAAACTAAGGCCAGAATTTTGAAATTACTATTAGGAGTATGGGACTTGCTGTGGTAAAACATTGAATTAAAGCGTCAGATAGGCTGAAATAGTCATGTATTGAGAATAATTATCTTTTAGGCTTGGTTGAAAATTATTTTTTTATAATGGTGAATAGGGTTTCCGACAGAGACTAGTTTCAATGAGATAGCTGTGCCCTTTAGCGCAATTATAACTTCGCTTCAATGCCTTCTTTCTTACAAATTATGCCAATTTTTAAGAAAGGGGTAGGTGAAAACAATTTCACAAGAGGCTCTGACAATTCTCGACAATTCCCAGTTTTATGGAGAAATATAACCCATTATCAGGGACCGAATTTAGCAAGATTATCTGCTCATCTAGTCACCCTTATGCTGGTGAAGTTTGTCGCCCTATTCGCCCAAGATTTGTTGAACCCAAATTTATTTGAAAAAGTCATGGTATTCGATGACAGAAGTGATTGAGCATTGGGAGAAAACCATCATGAGATACATTAGTCTAAGAAGCATTAGTTGGCTGATTAAGGCACATCTAGTGCTAAACAAATGAGAGGGGTACTATCGCAACTAATATAATAGGGAATATGCGAAGAAAAATTTGGTTCCAAGGAATCTCTTCATAATTATTCAGCTTACTTCCATTTCGGGTGAAAGTGTTTGGTGAAGAGATTTGAAGGTTTACCCCACCAGTAAAGATTTGAGGATTTCTCTTGAATAGCTGTCAAGTTGCTTTACGGAAACATTCCTTCTGACGATGTTTTGGAGGTAATCTCATTCAATTCCAGTGTAAACGTGCTAAGCTTTCGTTCGTCGTATGACAAACATGGTCAGAGCGGGGTACCATCCTTGCAGCCATCTAAATCCAGCTTTGGTACAAGTAATTATCATTTATTCTGGCTATACGAAATTGTTGAACTAAAAATGATTTTAAGGATGATACCCCGCTCTGATGGTATCCGTCATAAGATGAACGAAAACTTGGCACGTTCTCATCGGAATCGAAGTAGATTGCCTGGAAAACAGCGTCAAAAAAATTGTTTCTGTAAAGCCGATCGACAGATGACCAAGAAGAATCTCTCGTTGTCTTCTGGTAGGATCTCTTCACCAATAAACTTTAGCACAGATGCGCAAGAATCGATTTGGAATTCATTCGAGGGTGCTGAAAAGACCAAGGCAATGTTAAAACTTGAATCTATTCTGGATGGGACATCTTTTTTGGAGCAAGACCAAATGAAATCCACTGGTGTAGTAAGATTTACTCATAGCATTGTGGCAAAACATCTCTTTCATTTTAGAAATGTTATGGCCAAGATGGTGTGACCCTCTCTTTTGTCACAGTGTTTTTTCGTATTCATTTACATTTTCCATTTTTCGTCTACTTTTTTATTCAGACCCTTTACTCGAAAGTAAAGTGAGTTGAATAATTATGAAGTAATAGATCCCTCGAAACCAAATTTTTCTTCGCAAAC